GTTCTTCTGACTGGATGGGGGGAATTAAACCTGTTCTAGATGGGGTTGCACTCTCCTTGAAGGAGCATTTTTGTCACTTGAGGCCAGGTGGCTTCAGTGGGTCAGAATGCCTTCTACTTGGATTGGCTGGTGACCCAGCTATGTCCTTATCTGGACAGATATAGCCTGCTATCAGTGATTTGGGCTCTGCTAATGTCTAAAATAGATTATGGCAGTGCACTCTATGTGGGGCTGCCCTTGAAGCCTTTTTGGAAGCTACAGCTTCTGCAAAACACAGCAGCCAGACTAATAGCAGGGATCAGGCCGTCTGATCATATAACAGCAATTCTGGCCCATTTGCACAGGCTGTCTGTATGCTTCCAGATGCCGTTCAAGGTGCAGGTTTTAACCTATAAAGCCCTGCATGAGTTGGAACCATGATACCTGACAGAACATCTCTCCAACCACCATCTACTTGGACGCTATGATCAATCTCTAGGGCCTGCCCCTGACTGCCACCCCTGAGGGAGGCTTGATTGGAAGCAATAAGGAGAAGGACCTTTTCAATAGTGGCCCCTCAGTTGTCAAATAAGGTCTACCTGGCACCAACATTACTATGTTTTTGCTGCCAGGTCAAGTTTTTCCTCTGCTTCAGGGCATTTAATTAGTAAAGACTTCGTTAGGTTTTTTTAAAAAATCCAAGTTCCGACAGGTTTTATCTTGCTTATCTTATTTTATATTTTTTTATATTTTATATTTTAAATATGGTGTTTTAAATGTGGTATTAATGTCTTTTTTGCATGGTATTTTTCTTTTCTAATATTTTTATATTGTGGTACATTTTAGACTGTGTTTTAATAGACTGTTGTAAATGACCCAGAGAGCTTTTGCTCTTTGGAAGTACAGAAGTTAAACTAACAAATATCAAAATATTCCACCTCCTTCTATTGGCGGGGTTCTATGCGGTAATTTGCAGTGGTGGATCACAACTGAATAGCTATTTCTCCACATTAACTTTCAGTATTTGTTAAAAACCAGTATTAGAACCAACAAGTGTTCACAATTCAGCATGTGAACTTTTGAGTTTTAAAAGGCTCATTAGAGGCAAGAGATAGTTGGTGCAGGTCCATTATTCAATACTATGTGAGAAGGTTTTACTTTTTTGAAGCTTGTCATGTACTTTTTGCCAAGTTGTGTATGGAATATCTATCCCTAGGGTAATGCCTGAAGGAGTAGGCTGATTATTTTGGAGTCATGTGTGGAGTTGTAAGGACTTTAAACAAGACTTGTAGGGATGAATGGACCATGTTATCTGTTGTAATGCTTTGTCCAGATCATATCACCTGTCCCAACAATAAATAGAATTTGATACCTGTTTCCTTTGCCCTCCTTCCCACTCTAACTTGCTTGTGGTGAGAGCCTGTGGGATGGCACACAGTTTTAAGCAGACATTGATAATGGAAGGATGGGGAATTGATCTATTAAAATACGTATTTTTCAGTATCCCTGTAACAACAACACTTATCTTGCTAGAGCTAAAGCTCCCTCTGTTGGGGAAAACTCCATTACAGTGTTCAAAGAGGTTGCAGCCTACTGACACAGGGACAACCTACATGTTACATACAATTGTATATTTCTTTCCTCTGACTTTAACACTAAAAGGCAGATGTTACAACTGCCATCAGGACCATATGCCTCCCCCACCATTAGTAAAGCATCTTCTTTTCCTGCTGTTTAGCTGCTCAGGCAAATAAGAAACAATAAGCCCTACCCATCATCTACGCCTATAGACTGCATTTCAGTTGAAGAAAAAAAACCTAGGGAAAATAAACTTACAACTGTATGCAATGTGTTCCTCAGCCTGTAATTTATTTAAATCGTCAAGATGTTTGGTATAAATCCTTTTTATTGTCCTCAGGATGAGTTTAATAGTTATAGTAAAACTTTCTAGCTTTGATAATAAAGTGCTACAAAGGGAAATACTGGACCTACTGTTAAATAAATTTGAACATCATAAATTATCTCTTTGTATCTGGACATGTCCAAAAAAAAACCCAGGTGACTTTGGGCTAGTCAAGGCTCTCAGTCCAACCTACCTCAAAGGATGTCATTATGGGGATAAGATTGAGAGCAGGAGGAGAATAATGTAAGCTGCTTTGAGTTCATTGTAAGAGAAAAGCGAGATATAAATGTAACTAATAAGTAAATAAAAATGTGCTTCGAGTTGTTGGTACTTTCTGAATTGCTGCCCTGTTATGTCCCCTTTCCTCCTAGGCTATGAATTATCTGCTAATAAGGACAGTAAGTAGTAAATAAGTAGTAAGTAGTGACCAAAATCAGTGCACATTTCCATGTATTCCATGTCCATTGAAATAAGTGATATCTAAGTGCATATAGCTCTTAGCTGGGTGGTTGGGAGTCTCTGCATTATGCAGCATTATTGCTGAAACCAGTTGTATGATGAAAATATCTCAGACGTGGAGAGCTATAATGTATCCTATACAACAGTAAGTTGTGTTTCTTTAAAATATTTGAGAAAGAATTTGTGTCTTCAGGCCTTCAGCTAGTGATAAGGAGGCCCTTCCTCTCTTTAAAGAAGAAGACAAAGACAGTGATGACGAAGACGATGAATCATCATCATCTTAGGATAAACCCAACTGCCCCTCAACCCTGCAACAAATATTTTGATGGCTTTTCTCTCTCACAATTTCTTCTTGGAATCTTTTTCTGGAAAGGGATATAGGTGCATAGATGTTAAGACCTGACAGTCTTCATCAGTGAGCAGTCTTGAAAATATCCCTCCAATCTGGGAAACACACTTGGGTCTATTGAAAACAACCACAAAAAATGTCTCCAGATTGCTCATGCTTTAAAAAATCTGATTACCCAAATACTTTAACTTCCTGTTGCACCCTGTTTTTTATCCACAGCCATATAGCAAGTAATGTGATATGAGCTACTTTGTTCTGGAAGCAAACTGAGCACTGTTGGAGAATAGTGATAGTGTGTGTTGATAATCTTTGCAAAAGGCTTTAGGATGGAATGTGCTAAAATGCTGGGAAAATAAAAGTGTCTTCACCTGGTGCCAAAAACAATACAAAGTAGGCTCCAGGTGCAACTCTTTGGGGTGCTCATTCCAAAACTGGGGTGCCACAACTGAAAAGGCCCTCATCCTGTTAACCACCTACCTCATTTCCTTTAGAAGGGGTTTCAGAAGATTACCTCAGGAGGTATATATGGGAGAGGCAATCCTTCAGATAACCTGGCCTCAAACCATTTATGGCTTAGAATGCTAGTACTAGCCATTTTGAAATGAGCCTGGACTTCAACTGGCAGTCAGAAGAGGAGGGGCATAATGTATTCTCCATGAGCCAACCCCCATTAACAGTCTTGTTGCCCTGTTTTGGGTCAGTTGTAGTTAACAAAGGCAGCCCCACGTACAACACATTGTAGTAATCCAAATGAGAGGTTATCAGACCATGGATAACTCTAGCTAGGTGTTCTGTTTGTCCAGGTAGGGTCATAGTATATCAGTCAGCATAGCTGGGTTGTAAATTCTCGCGGTACAACATTTAGCTTGTTAGCTTGAAAGAAAGCCACAAATTATTCTAATCTTAACTCTTGTCTCTGAATTTGGATGGGAAGATTTAATACTCTAGAACTGATGAAACAGCCCCTTTTCAGCTAATTAAATATTCCTCCTGTAATCTAGTTAAAGATTCTTTAATCATCATGGTGAGTGACTTTAAACTAAATGCAATTTATTGCTAAATTCTATTTCTCTTTGGGACTAAACTTTGAGGGAATTAATTTTGTGAAACTTTTTGTTAAAGTGCTATGTATGGATAAGCTGTGGTTGTTTGTGCACTTGTAACTAATGAACCAGAAATTCAAGAGCTTTGGAATGCTGCATGCTTCACATGATCCACAATAATATGACTTGAACCTAGAGTCTGCAGTTTGGTGCCTGCTAGTTTTGATGCCCCTGCACCTCCTGAATTTTTTATTTCATTTTTCAAATATTTAATTTTAAAAATTAAATGACGTGGTGGTGTACTGGAAAATGGAGTGTCAGCCTTTGACACCATCTTCTGGTGAAGATGCTGTCTAATTGTGAAATGAGTATAGGTTCAAATGTAGGTTCCAAAGAATGATTTTGTTTGTGTGGAGCTCAGATCACACCTCCGTCATTTTGTAAATGAGCAAGTCACTCATGGCAGCCATGTTGTGAGAGTGGCCATGACTCTTTCAACATTCCATATTTGTCTTTCGACCCAAATAACTGGGAGATATCAGACTTAAAGTGGTGGAAGAAATTCAGATAACACCCTAAGTGTAGACTGATATTTTAAATTCACATGTTCTACTGCTCATTGCTTATGAGCAGCAGACAATATCTTTTCAAATGAGCTTTAAAGAGATGAAAGGGTCTCTCTCCAACTTGCCACAGCTGTGGCTTTAAACTTTAAAAACCTACTTCTTGGGGAGCTACTATTCTCAAGTTTTCTTTAGTTACTCTTAGGAAAGATTATTTTATTCAAACAAAATATCAAATATTTGTTTCAGTTGTTATTCACTTTTAAGGATATGTTGCCTCCTCTGCGACATAATTCTGAGTCTGAAGATCTCTGCGCTGTTTCATTGCAAATACAAGTTGAACTATTGTGACCCTTGCCAAAGCTAACAGTAGTAATAGCATAAGGAACATATCAACATAATTTTTGGAAGTCTTCTACCCCAAAGCAAATGCTTATTCAAGAAACAGGTAAAGCAATTCAATATTGCTGTCCCTGGTTTGGGTACCAATGGTTGGATTGTCTTTAATTCCTTCGCTATAGAGGGGTAGTTTAAAAAACCTTTCCAGTATGCTATTACATTGTGGCTTGATGCTCAAGTTTGCTTCACCATAGACAACCTGGTAAGAATAGTCCGTGTTTATTGCTGATTGTATTTTGAATGCAGCTGTGGTTTTGTTTGTGTGTTAACCTGATTAACATCTCACATAAAGTTTCCATTCTCAGGTTTCAGGAGTCGTTGGTCAGATGCTGTTGGATGTAGTCAGAAAACCACAGACTCAGACTTGGGAGGACAAAACATGTTTGAACAGGACATCACTGGGTCTGTAAGTCCCATATTTAATGAAACCCTACTGGGGAATGTTATGAAAGTTTGTGAAAATGTTACAATAGTAGCATGAACATTTTGTTTTGGAAAAGCGGTTGGGGTAGGAGGAACAGCAGGAGAAATGTGTTTAGTGGAAATAATGTGTGGTTTACAGAGGAGAATGGCTCAAGCAGGTGAAACATTCAAAGCAAGGATAACAAAATGCTGGAAAAAGAGTACTATAGAATGAGGCTGAGGATTTATTTATATTGAGTTACATGTATGCTTCTGCGCTTGACACAATAAAACACCCTTAAAAATGAACTAGGCCCTTGTTGAATAAAAGTTCAAATGGAGTCTCTTCTAATGCAATATCTAAAAGTAGTTGTGCATTGGAGGTCGCTGGTGAACAAGATGTAATGGAGTTTGTGCTGTTAAAAAATAATTTTGTGGCCTATATTTACTGCTTTTGCATAATTTTAGAAAGGGGCCAAAAGAGTTATGCTGCACATAAAAAAAACTGGTTGCTGGATATTTGCTCTCCCTGGTCTCACAGATTTCATCATCACATTGTTCTTATTTTATTTATCAAACTTATATCCCACCTCCCTCCCTCCCTCCCTCTTTTTACACACACACACACACACACACACACACACACGTGTGCTGCATACACACTGAAAGCTGAATTAACAGTGCAGAGAAATAAAATAACCCAATAACACAATGGAAAAATAGCCAAATCAGAGAAAAACATCAACATCAGAAAGCCAACTAAAACAGCCTTGTGTTTAGAAATGCCTGATAAAATAAAAGGGTTTGTCTGCTGTTGAAATGACATATGAAGCTAGGTGGGCTTCTTAGGGTAAGTGTTTCATAGTTGTGGCAATTGTGCTGAAAGAGCCCCCATCTGTCCCAAAATGCCACCCATTTCAGAAGTGGGGGCTTTCACAGAAGAACTTCTAACAAAGATTTTAACATGGGAGCAGATATGTTTGGGGAAATACCTGTCTCTGAAATATTGAAGCCTAAGCCATAGTAGGTTGTAAAGGTTAAGTGTCAGCACTTTAAATTGTTCCCAGAAATGGACCAGTAGCCGGAAACTCTTTTCAGTTTTAGTTTTTAAACTCATACAAATTGGTCTCTAGGGCTGTTCTCAATTAGCAGCCTAGTAGTTGCATTCTGAACTAACTGAATTTTCCAAATCATCTTGAACTGCACCCATTCATAATGCATTGCCATAGACAGGTCTAGAGGTTACCAGGATACAGGTGATTTTGGATAGACCACCTCTTTCCAGGTAGGTCTGTAATTGATGTGCTAGCTGTAACTGGAGGCAGTTACTGTCTGTCCCTGGACACATCAACACACCTAAGAGGCAAGCCTTTTCTAGGCAGGGTTAGATTCCCTCTTGAACAGGTAGAACACTACCTTTGCAGTCAGCAAATTGCCTACCCATGGCAACTCTATCTTGTCAGGGTTGAATTTCAATTTATTGGCTCTTATCAAATCCATCATTGATCCCAGATACTGATTTAGACTTTACATTTGCCCTGTCTAAGCCAAATGAAAGTAAGAAATTGAATATTAATAGCACATTGCTCTGAATTTCCCAATGTCTCCACTCACTGGTTTTACCTACACTTGGAGGAACATGGAGGCACCCTGCAGGGCTTCATAGCCTGGCAGCCATGGAGCTAAGTAAGCAGTAGTCAGCCAGGACCACTTTCTAGAATCAACTCTTCAAATAGGAACTGAACCATCACAGTGTGTTGCCTCTCCCCCACAACCCCCAAATCTGGACAGCGTGTCCAGATGGATGTAATGGCTGATGATACAGTAAGGCACTGAGAGGTCCAGGAAAACCAGTTGTGCTTCCTGGCACTGGTCATCTGTTACCACAGTCAAGGCAGTTTCTATGCTGAAACTAGTCCTGACAGCAGATTGAAATAGATCTACACAATCGGTCTTACCTAGAGTGCCTAGACTTCCTGGTTGAAGGAAATATTTGTAATTGCTTAAGAATGGTTCTAATCCTTGAACTCTAGGGGAAACTTCTTAAGGTATGGGCTCACTAACACTTGCTTTGAGGTGGCTGAGATGCTTCTCTTTGAAAGGAAGCATAGATAACTTCCTGTACTTAGTAGATTGGCTTCTCCCTGTGAGTAGGGCAAGCCACAAAGGGCAGGTATCAAGCATTCAGGTAATAGGCCGCATGTCAGCAAGCACCTTGCCACAGCCTTAGGCTGCTAAGCACTGACAATGAAGAAGGATAGACAGGTCACTGAACACATTCATTGATTAGCAAAACTGGTTGGAATAGATTTGAATGAGTTTATTGTCAAATTACCTTGCAAGCAAGTCACAATGAGTGCTAACCAATCCTCCTAGCTGTTCAGATTGGAAAAGACCATGTACCACCTGAGAAGGCTCCACTGGACAAAGCTGTGCAGGTGCAAAGGTGGTAAATAGAGTGCTTTTTCTTTGCTGCTATTACTACCTTAGAGTGGGCTTGATTGTGAGCTATCACTGTGTCACTCTAAGATTCTCACCACCTTCCTAGCCTTTTCATCACCCCAACTCCCTAGTAAACCAAGGAGCTGAATGGGATTTAGAGAGTGAAGGTGTTTAGGAGTGGTTGTGTCAACCACCTGAGTCATCTCTGGATTTCATCAGGGTTTTAAGAGGTGCCCCAGCCATACTGAAAGGAACGGGTTCTCAGGAATCCCTGTGGGCCAGATGCCCAAGTGGAGCCTCTAAGCCTAACTAGGAAGTGATTTGACCATGACAGTTGTTCTCATGCTTGTTGTCACTGCAGATGTGAGAGCTAGCAACTTACTTCTTTTTAAGATTCTTGGGATGCTGAATTCTGTCACAAATGAAAACTATTGCTTTTTCCTTCCTTGTGCTTGCATCCATTTGCAGAATGTACAGAGCCCTGCATGTGAGCCTCTTTCTTTCAGTATATTAGTTTCTATTTGTGGATACTGTATTCTGGGACATGCCCCACTCTATTGAAGAAGTGTAGATCTAGTTACTGCTCTGCAGCCTCGGAGTGGAATACCTGTGCTATTGTGAAGTTGTTTGTTCTGTACTAGTTGAGGCCCGAAGAAAACACTGTAGTAAGGAAAGGGGCCAACAAGCTTGTTGGGGCATGGCCCAGTACCGCTGCATCTTGGAGACTTGTTTCAGCAGCTCTCTAGCCTAGCACAAGCCTTGCTGACTTCCTGTTCCATTAAGTTTGTTTATGGCTTTTACTTAGAGTATGGAGCTTTTGTTAGCCTGAAGCACCAATTCTATCTCCAGAAGTGGATGTCATTGATAGGGGAAAATAGCTGGAGGGCCAGGATAGAATCCGCAAAAGATCCCACTGGTTTGCTTTCATCTTTGACCTAGTTCACACATAACAATTGTTTAAAGCTTGAGTTGTCCCCCCCCCCCCCCATGGGCCACCTATATAGCTTAGGGTGCAGTTGGAGTCCTTGTTGTCAATGAAGGCTAAAGAAAGTGTCTCAAAACACATTTTATCCACTGAAGACCAACTACAACCCTATGTACCTGAACAGAGCAAACCTTGTGTCAGTTATTCATCCCTTGGTAACTTCCCATTTGGATTATTGCCATGTGCTATATGTGGAGCTACCTTTGAAAATGGTGCATAAGCTTCAGCTAATCCTAAACTGGATGGCTAAAAAGTTAATGGGGACTAGATTGTTGGCCAGATTAATAAGAACTGAATGATAAGATCTTATTTTGTCAGCACTTTTCCATCTTCCCTGGTTTGCTGTTTTTGGATCTAATTCAAAGAACTTGTTTAAAAACTCCAAATGACTTGGGGCCAGGGTTCCTGATGGGCCTCCTATATTTATTCACTTGTACCTTAAGATCATCATTTGAGCCCTGCACCAAGTAACCCTCCAAGTTTCCGAAACTTCCAGTTCCAGCTAAAGCTTTCTATTGTCTTGAAAGTGAATATACTGAAGAGTGCCTTAGGTAGAGCTCTATGTGATATACAGGATATTTCTAGTTGTTGATCAGGTGCTATAGATCAGCCATGTCTCAGAACTTGTATTGGCATGAGTGCTTAGAAGTGATGCACATATCTTCAGCTAGAAGAGAAAGGATGAAGGTGGGTTCCATTTGTCTCTGTTTTTCCTCACCTTTTAGGTCATTGGATCAAATGCCTTCTTCATGAGGCGTCAAATTGTAACCAAGGCTGGTAAGTATTTTAGAATGCCGAATCCGAATGTCCACATGTTCTTTACAGTCTTGGCATTTCTCCTGTCCATATAAGATCCTCTTTCAGTGAGAGTAGTTGGGGAAGCCTGACTCAGTCTCTTATATGAGGGAGATGAAGTAGCCTTACACCAGTTCAGACTTTGTTTCCCAGTATCAGATAGTCCAGTGGACAGAAGTTCTCCAGGGTCTCCAATATATGTCTTTCACATCATCAACTGTTTGAGCTTTTTAAATGGAGATTGGACCTGGGATCTTCTTCATGAGAAGCATGTGCCATACCTTTGAGCTGTAAATTTTTCCATAGTAAGAAGCACTGGGTGCAAAGAAAGGCCTTCTGAAGATACACTCCAGATTATAGAACACATTACTTTAGAGAGGTTTCTTAATGACTACTCTTACTGATCTTTAGAAAAACTGCAACACATTTCTGTTTATATAAGTTTTCAGAATTACACTGTGAAGTGTTACATTTGTGCCCACTTTTTGTTTTGTTTTGTTTTGCTTTCTACACTGCTTGATCTTGTTTTGGTTGACTTAATTTATTGATTTTTTTAATCTTCACTGAATAAAGGTAAAATGTTTTAGTACAGTTGATGCTGGATAGCAAGTGGTACATTCTTTATTCTGATATTCATGAGTCATCAGGCCACTTTCTAATTCTCTTGCAGAGACTATTGGTAAGCTCCATGTTCCTTGCTATTCCCTTGATAACATGGTGGTAGCAGATGTCATGTATTGTATGGTGTAGTGGTTAAAAGTGTGAGTCTGGGTTCTATTCCCTGCTCAACCATGGAGCTAACTGGGTGACTTTGGGCCTGACACAGAATCTCAGCCCAACCTACCTCACAGGTTTGTTGTTGTGGGGATAAAATTGAGAGCAGGAAAAAGAGATGGATGTGAACCGCTTTGAGTTCACTGTAAGAAAGAAGGTGGGATATAAATCTAATAAATAAATAAGTGCTGTAGTTCCTACATTTGAGCTCAAATCCCAGACAGATATCTTGGCTTTTTGCAGTGTGATGCTGGACCGTTTCAGGCAGTGCAATCACAAGGTACTATTTTGTCTTCACACCAATTGCTGTTTATTTAATAAGAGCTCAAGCACTTGACAGAATGAAATTTCTTTAAGAAACTGTTTTAAATTTCCTTTCCCCAATTTACCTCTAGGTTTGCTATTATCAGCATTACAACAGGCTGAATTTCAAGGGTTGCAAAGCCCCATCATGAATAGTGCTTATTATTGCATGTTGGCTCAAGGAAGTGTATTCCTCATACTGGAGGAAATAGACAAGAAACTGCTTGTTTAAAATGAAGGTTCAGCTCCCTTCAGCAAAATGTTTCCTGCATTACTGTACTTTGGCCTTGTTTGTTACCACTTCTATACCTTACATTCCTTTAGCATAGCCTCTTCTTTTCAAACCCTGCTGGCCTGAGTAAATTTTGTTGTGAGCATGCTTTATAATCTTTCTACTGTACCTGGCCCTTCTATTAGCACTATATATGTGTATCAGTAGTAGAAGTACCTGCTGCTGTTACAGGAGATCAACTTTAATTCAGCCATATTGCTCAGGAACTGAAGCTACAAATTATACAAAGTCTGTTGCAAACAAGTTCCTTGCATGGTTCTGGACTGTAGAGGATGGGTGCTGTCTCATCTTGGGTGCTGTTTCATTGATGAAAGGAGTTTTTATGACTACAGTAGGACACACTGCTTCCAGGTGACATAATGTGTGAACTTCTGGGTGTTATGTATACTTTAAGGTCTTGATAGGCAGCTTAATTCCCACTCCTTGGCTACCACAGAATGGCTGTCATGCAGGCTCACCTGCCTGATTCCTGGAGTGGTTTGGACATTCCCTCTCTTGTGTTTGCTGATACATTTATAGTCTTGTTTGGTAACCAATTGAGCCCTACTGTTGGCTGCTATTTTACTTACAACAGACAAGGGAAGCCTGCTGGTGTCTTTAGACACATCAGATCAATCCTGATTTTCTCTGTTCCTCTTACAAACTACATGCTGCATCTGGCAGATATAGTCTGGGAACCAGGTGCAGGTAAATTGTGTTATATGAGTACCTCTTTTTGTTAGTTGGTTATACAGAATATAGATCTGTGTTGCTAAAGCCTGTGAAAAGATGTGTTTTATGACTGCATTTACTACTTTTATGGTATATTGTTGGTGTACATTTTTTATATTCATTGTTCACTCTTGGATGAAGCCTGGTTCCTAAACATTTTAATTAACAATTAACCTGAAAGTAATATACCGCACCAGCTTTTACCCATCTCTGTACCTTTTATTCTGGAAGCCACTCCAGCTTTGCCCTTGGTCTTCAGAGAAAAAGAAAGTGTGTGAATGAGTGTATGTGATGTGTGCGGGGAGTGGGGCAGCAAAACAGCATTCCATTGTTGGTTTTTGTCCCCATCATGCTTGGGAGTAATTTGGATATAAGTGGTACAAATGCCCAGCTCCTCCAACTTGGCTCTATACTTAATGTGTGCCGCTTCCTCCCATGTAGTCCCTCTTGCCAGTGACAGCACAAGATCAATAGCTCCTGCCTGGCCTGTCACTATTGCCTGTAAGGTTTTCAGTTTCCATACTGGAAATGGCCTTTCCTAAAGAGCCCAATCAATATGCTGCTCTAAGGCCTGTTCTCATTTGCTATATATAATCTGGATGCACACTGTATGTTAGTGTGTGTGCTCTTGCGGGTGTGCGCACAACAAAGCAGGGAGGATGAGCCAGTCTTCTGCTCTTGCTGGCTGGAATGACACAGCTGTGATTTTTCTTCTGCTTATTCTTCTACTTTTGCTGCAGCTCCTGTCCCAAGGCTTTGGCCTGCCTCCTTCCTCTGCTCTCTGGATGTAGGACTGCTGTGAGACACAGGATATCTGATTACCTTGTGGGGACATCTCTGGGTTGGATGGGGCATCTGTGACTTTCTCTTTTCTATTTCTGCTGCTGGCAGGTGACCTGTTGTGAAAGTCAAGCAGGAGGGACAATGACAAGCACAGTACCTTCCAAGAAGCCTTACCGCAAGGCTCCTCCCCAGCACCGTGAGATTCACCATGAGCTGCCCATCCTGCGTGATGACCAAGATGGTGTGATTTTGGCAGAACAGAGTCAGGTAACTGAAACCAGGGAAGCTAAGGGCCTGCTCCCACTGCTTCAGCGGAAAGGGTTTAGTTACACCAAGGCAGGTCAGCTCAAACGACAGATGGATGGGTATGAGGTTTGCAATGTTAACTTTTCTTCCTGGTCTCTGGAATCAAGCAGTGACAAAGAGATAGCAGGGCGCCGAGCAGAACTGAACCTGAAGAGCCGGACTGTGTCTCCTGTATTACTTCACAGTGGGAAAACAGGGAAGAGGTGTGTGAAACACTGCCGGTATCCTAGCCGTGGGCGGCTCAGTAAGTTCATGAGCCGGAGTGTAGAGACAGTCTTAGTTTCTGGAGATGAAGGTCAAAGGCCAACCTGCTCCTTCAAAAGTAGAAGCTTGGAACGCTCCCTCATGTTCAAAGAACCTGCTGAGGTCTTAGCACCTAGAAAGTTCCGTGTCCCATCGACTCACCTGCCTCTCAAAGGCATCTTGAAACAGACTGAGATGTTGGAAGTGCAGCCTGAACTCCTGCGCAAGTCCCACTCAGTGGAGACTCTGGCCCATGGCCGCCGTTCACGCAAGTATAGTGACCCTCAGCTGTGCCTTGGCAGGCAGGATAAGCAGACATCGGAGCACAACGATATTAACTCTTCAGAATCCTTCAGACGAAAAGAGAAGATCACAGAGGAGAAGCTTCAGTTCTCCAAATTCCTTGATGAGATAACCCACAGGGTGCTGAGCCCAGTCCACTTGCATTCTTTGGGTGAGAGCAAGGCAGGAGAAGGAAGCCAGGGGTCCCCCACTTATCCCAGATGTTCCACACCTGAAGGGATGAAGGAAATCCAGCCAGAGGGCACAAGGAGGACATCTGAGAAAAGCCCTCGCCTAAGTAGGAGAAAAGCAGAGCAGAGGTGTGAGGGTCTTGAAGTGTTACCCTGCCGTAGGAAGCCATCAGAGGAGTTGGAAAGGTCTGCAAGGCTGAGGAGGAAGCCTGTCCTGGTGAAGAAGGTCAGCAAGGAAAAGTTCCTCTCAATGGAGAATCGGGTGGTAGATTTGTGTCAGTATCAGCTGCAGCAACTAGCAGAGTTGGGTCTGGCAAGGGTTAATTCTAAACAGCGGCATTTGTCTCACTGGAAGACGCCTGGTCAGGAGGGAGGGAGGGACAAAGGGCAAGGCCAGAGTGAATGCCCATTACAGCATGTGTGGCGACAGCCCCTCAGTTGCAAACCTGGCCAGAAGCCAGTATTGGAGTCAAACTACTTGGAGAAAGGGTCCTTCTCCCCTCCCTCACGTTGGAACCTGGAGGAGAGCAGCGCCTCACCTAGAACTTCCCCTTCTTTCAGCTTAGCACTAAACAAGGTAGGTGTTTAGTGATGAGGGAGTGAGGAATAGATGTTTGTATTTGAATGCTTATCTATAGTAACTTGGAACCCTGCAACAGGAGATCACTCAAGTCTCTTGCTGGAATTCTACTAAAGGGATTTTGCCTCCCTGTTTTTAACTTCCTTTTAACATCAAGTGCCCTGGAGTTCCTTCTTTCAATGTGTACCATTGAAAAACCTTTCAGAGGGGAAGCAGAGCAGTTACATTGGCCTACCTTTGTTACTTGTTAGCTTGCTGCAAAGCTGCGGAGTGCCAGTGTGCCTAACCAAAGAGAGAGCATTATGTGTCTGGCACAGCTTGCCCATTTCCCTGCCTAGTAAATGCAACAGACACTCTCTCCTGAGCTGTAATTCTTGTGAAAAGCTTCCAATCACTTTCCTTCCATGCATCAAGGAACACACTTTAGAAATTTGTTTTTAGTATCACGTATTAGAAAGTGCTGGAGGCTTCAGGTTGCTCTGTACAGTGGGATCTAATAACCTTTTAAATCCGAAATAAATCTTGCTATATTAAACGCTTGCTGCATGGTCAGGTCTGCTGTCAAAAGCCTCCTGGGCTGCTGCCGCCATCGCCGCCTCCTCTTTCTCATTGCTATCTGCTTGTTCATCTGTATTCTCCCTCTGACTTAGTGAGGTGAGTAAGTAAGTAAGTAATGGCAGAAGTGAGGAGGAGAAAGTAATGTTTGGTCTGGCAAATGCTCTCAGTCTGGCGGATAAGTCACTTTTGGCTACAAGAGAAAGGAGCCACAATAATTGGTAACCATAGTTGTGAGAACATGGACCCATTGTGAAGAAATTATTGACCATGTATCCTTAAACCCTTCTTGTAGATGGGTATTAAGCCTACATGGTGTAGTATTCAACTTGTTCTAAGAAGACTGGGAATCAGATTCTCAATAAGTCATGAAACTTACAGGATAACCTTGGGCCTCTGTCCTTCAGCCTAACCTATCTCAAATGCTTGTTTTGAAGAAAAAATCAAGATGAAATCCTGAGCTCTTTTGATAAATGGCAGAATAGAAATATAATAAGTAATTAATAAGTATAATAAGTAATAAGAAATATAAGTAATAAGCTTGAAGCTTCTGGACAGAGGGAGTAAGTAAGAAATGTTCCAGGTTGTTGGTGACAGTTTCAGCTATTTGGTGCTTTACCTGTGCAGTTGTCAGAACTATGTAAAGTAGGTTTTAGCACAGTATAGCGTTTTCCAAACTATCAAAACAACACAGTGATAAGTTGTTTGTGGAGCAGATGCTTATGGACAACAGAAAGGAGCAAAATACATGGTTGGAAATAAATTGCCCACATTTTAATTCATTTATTTGCTTCTTTTCTATACTATCCAATAGTCAAAGCTGTTTGGGTAGTTCACAGCATGATGAAACATAATGCAAAACCTTTAACATTAATTAATTTAAATCAGTTTTAACACAATTAATGATGAAACAGCGGAGACCTGATAGACTAAAATGTATCATTCTAAGCTTTCAAATGCCTCAAGAGTATAGGAAAGGCTTACTATGGTGCCAAAAAGATGACAATGTTTCTTACTGGTTTTCCTTCTTCTACAGGAACCCTTAACAGATGCAGAAAGGATGAAGTAAGTATCCTGGTTCCTTCTTGTTCTCCTTTTGTTTTATAGATCTATTGTTTTCTAGGCTACTATGTTTGTTAAGGCTATACACCTGCTAGGAAGGCTCAGATGCTAGGGTGAGAACTTACAGTCCTCCAGATGTTTTAGCCTAGATTTTGCACCAGTTCTAACCAGTAGAGCTAGTGGTGAGGGATGATGGGAGTTGTAGGCCAAAACATCTGGAGGTCATAAGTTCCTTACACTTAGGATAACTTTACCTAAGCTTATTTCCGCACACCAGATGACACATTGAAGTGACAGCCACAGAACTGTTAGAGCTGTCTTAGGCATTGACAACAGAGATAGTTTAGATAGGTATCCAGCAGTACTGCTCAATCTTACCCTTTCCTTAATGCTATTTTTAGTAGGAGTGGTGGATTGGAAGCATCTAGTTCAACTCCTATTATCTACTTTTAATTTTTGAATGTGTATTTTAAGCACTGTTATTTGAGTGCCTCAGCTGTAATTTGGGGTATGTATTTTGTGTTCCAACTGTGCAAGTTGAATATTTAAAATATTTGCAGGAGATAGTATTGTAAAGTCAGTAAAGAACAATACAAAGAGAATTGTTGAGTATTTGGGAGGATTTCTACATGGAAGCAGATGCATAGATAGGGCTTTGATCTTTCTTTGTCAGTGCTTCTGAAGCCATTATGTGAAGGTTGGCCACATCTTCCTTCTCAAATTAATTTCACTCACTGGCTTGGAAACTGGGTCAGTTTTTTTATAGGAGTATTAAAGGCAGGGTGGAGGTGGGTTGATATTGACTAATCCTCCTCTGTTCAACCTTGCTTGATTTTCATGGCAGGCATAAATTATTGAGTGAGTTTCAGCTTCCAGTGGAAGACACCTGAGCTGTGTAGTCTCATCTGTCTGCTATGTTTAATTTGGAGATAGTAAATTGAGAAGGGACTGCTGGCATGGAGGGGTAGCCTGCCACTGACTAAGGTTTCTGTTTCTTCTCTGGTAGCAGTAGGATCAGTTGTAGAATCTCCTTTTCCTGTGCAAGATATGCATGTTTTCAGAAATACAGCTTTCCAAAAACAGAAGATACATAAACTTCAACAAAGACACACCAGAAGCCTATATCTTTTTCTCTCCATTTGTGAGTGGCATTTGTATATACCACCCGTTCAAATGTTGAAAGCATAGGAGGTGAGCATTTACTCTTCCCATATGGTACTATCTGCTTTTAGCTGTGAAAAGGGCATGGAGAATCTATTTACATTGACCATTTGTTAACTTCCAGGAAGGAACTGGGGATATGCATCAATAAATATTTAGGAGTGTTCAAGTACAAATTTTGTCTGTATTATAATTTCTTCCCAAAAAGAAGCAACTACTGGGCATTGCAAAGCATACTATTAAAAGAAGCATGAGCTACTTTACATCTCCAGCAGATGACTGGCGCAAACCTTATTAAAGATATGTTGTGGCATCTAGTGGATGTGAAGCAAACATTTTTTTTCTGAATAACATGTGACCTCAGATCCATCAGAGCTTCAGATATGAACATTAAAACAGCAGTCATTGATTAAGCAGAACAGGATGGCCCAATTCTCTGTTCCATTTCTGCTTAAGACCCTGTATATTATATTTATTCACTGATAATAGTTGTGAACATGGATTATGTGTTGATATAGCTGATCAGCCTCTGTGAGTACTTCCGATAACAAAGGAGACTGTGAAACTGTGAAAGCAGCAGGGTTGAAGCTAGGGTCAAACAATGTTGTAGTTGTAAGTATTGCCATTCAGCTGTAGCAGGCAGATCATATTTGGTGCACAAAGTTCAAAATTACAAAAAAATGGTTATCAATGCCCACTAATGGATGAAAGGTAAAAATCAACTTATCCAAGCCCATCACAAAAACATTTTTGTTGCCAGTGTTTAAATCTTGATTTCCTCACATACTTAATTATGAGAAAATGTATCAACTGACACACTAAGAGTTGTAACTTTGGGAGGGACCTTATCCATTTTAGTGTCCTAAGAACCTAATACCATCCATTGAGAAAAAGGACCCAGTCAGGATGATCCTAAAACTGACCAAGGTGGAAGATCTAATCTAAGGAGAAAACCCCCATATATTATTTATTTATTTTATTTATTTATTAAAACATTTTTATGCTGCCCCATTCGCCGAAGCCTCGGGGCGGCTTACAACAAAAAATTAAAATAACATTTTAAAATATATACAATAAAATACAAATATATAATATAAAACATACAATATAAAACAAGCCGCCCTGGCCAAATAAAATTCAATAATATTAACATTTAAAATACTGCCTAAATAAAAAGGTCTTCGAAAAACAAATAATGACGGCACCAGGCGGACCTCTCTGGGGAGCGCATTCCATAACTTAGGCGCCACCGTTGAGAAAGCC